TCTATCATCATTAAACAATGAAATACAGCAGCCTCAATACAATAAGAAAGATTAATAGTGATATAATCTCCAAATTAAGATATGGATTTTGTATTGTCCCATGGAAACTAGGAGAATTGGAGAATATAGATAAACAAATAAGAAAATCATTGATACAACTCCAATTATACAGTAGAAATATTCCAAAAAGCAGATTATATGTTAAAATAAATGAATTGGGATTAGGATTAATGTCAGCAAGAGATGAATGTGGTAAAGAATTATTAAGAATATATTTAAAATATAAGTGGAGATCAAACACAGGAATAGGAGAAATGATAGAAGCAATAAAAGAAAATCCAAATGGAATAATTAAAAGAATGAAGAAAGCATTTGGTAAGAAGATTAATTTTAATGAATTAATGAATATAATCGAATTAAATGAAAGAAAGCACAATGTAAAGGAAGTATTTGAATTTGTAAATAATGAATTAAATGATAGATATTTAAATGAATGGAAAGAAAAGAAATGTGGTGAATATATAAGAAATGCAAATGGTACTTTCAATGATAAGAAATTAACAGTAGCCACTTGGAGGTCATTAAATATAAAAAGAAATGCATTCCTCCAAATAGTAAAGATGCAAGAATTTGTAACTATGACAGGAAATATTAAATCTAAAATACTCCAAAATGATGCTTTAAAATATTGTAAACATTGTCCTAACACAATAGCATCTATTAATCATATACTGTTATGATGTAATTGAATGAAAAAGAATCAAATATTAAAACATGATTATGTTTAAACAAATATTTAAACACTTATTAATTACACAATTTAATGAATTTGATGCAATTGATTTTAATAATCATCCAAAATGTATTAATAATGATAAAATGATTATAACTTACAATAAAGATTTATTGGTTAGTGACCATTCTTTCCATGCTAGAAGACATAATATATATTATCAAAATATGAAAGAAAAGAAATGATATATTATAGATGTTGCTATATGTCAAGATAATAATATAGAATTAAATTATATTCATAAAATAAATAAATACAAAGAATTACAAGAGAAATTAAGAAATAATAGAGAAATAATATATGTAGAAATAATACCTGTTATATTATCAATAAATGGATTAATACATAAAGAGTCAGCAAGAAGATTAAAAGTACTGAAATTACAATTACACTTCCCCAAAATTCTACGAACAATAATTATAAAAAATATGAAAGACTTAATGTTTTATACAGGAAATTCTGGCAGCACAATAGAAGAAGAACAATCTAATGCGAGCATGCTAGAAATGAACTCTATTACACCAATAGAGCATATTGAAGAAACTGAAATAATCACTTCTCAGTATGAAGAAAATCCAATTGAGGATATATCTAATGATTGACCTTTTTTTTTGTAAATTATTTAGATGCATTTTTTCTTTGCTAATTTTCGTGCCTGAAATAAATTGAAATGAATAATCAAATAATAAAATGAAAATGAAATGATAAGAAATTAACAAATAAAATAATGAACAATATCAATATAAAAAGAAATGAATATAAACAATATAATTAATGAAAGAAATAATATTTGTATGAATTAACAAATCAATAATTACATCAAATAATAAATGAAATGATGTATTATTTGTAATTATAAAATAAAATGAAGTTATAATATTAAATTATAATGTAAATAAGAAAATATAAATTAAATACAAATTAAACATGAATTAATAAATGATTATTCAAATGATGAGAATAACTAAAATAAAATATAAAATAAATATAATAAAACAAAAGAATGAATTGAAATTAAACAACACAAATGAAAGTGGTAAAAACAAAAGAAGAATAGAAAATAAAGAAATATTCAATGAATTTAAACAATAAATAATTAATAAAAGTGAATATTTAATGAAAGACAATATATTTATATAGAAGATAAAATAAAGAAGAATAAATGAAATGACAAATTGATAATTATAAAAGATAAAATGATACAATAATATTTATTAATACAGTAGAAATGGATAACATTCACCAAGATAAAATAAGACAAATTAATAGAATAAAATAGAATAAATTACAATATAATTCCAATAAACAAAAGAATGAATAGTAAAGACAATCAAAGAATAAGATATTATAATTGCATTTTTAAATAATGATAAAAGATAAAATGAATAATAACATGAAAGACATAATGAAATAATATAGATATAATATGGGTGAATATAAAATATAGAAATACTTCATGAATATGACTCTGAAGAGAGTGAAAATAATAATCTCAAATAAATAATAAGAAATACAAAAATCAATGTCTACTTAAATTTAATTTAGTAATTTTTATCTTTTATGTTTAAGTTATGAATTATTCAATTGGAATGTATATGTAATTGTTTATTATTCTTCTTTATCATGTTATATTAATTTAGTAATATTTATGGAATTATAATGATATTAAATTATGTTCTTATCTCATGTCTTTTGTGTTTATTATCTTTTTATTCTTTATGGTTTATCACTTTTATTATCCCTTTTATTTCTTTTCTATTTCTTATTTCTTATTGGTGTTTTGTTCCAATACATTTCTCTTTCTCCTCATCTTATTCTTCATTAGATTCTTTGAGAATGTGTGAATTTGTGTATCTCCGTTTTCTTCTTTTTGCCTTGTCATTTTTATTTTCTATTTACCAGTTCTTTCATTATAAGTTGTTTGAAAGTTGAATAATTACCATTATGAGAATAATGCAGAAGTGATGATGACGACATTTTTATTTTAGTTAAGTAAAGATGATTTTGGTAGTTCATTTGTCATTTAAACATCTCATCATCACCACAATCTCATCAATTCAATCAGTCAAATGTCTTGCAATCAACAAAAAGAGTGTTGTAAAAAAGAATGTCAAGAGAAAGAATGTTGTAAAGAATGTTGTTGTCCAAGAATAAAAGCATTTAAGAAATTTATAAACACATTTGAAAAAGCACAAATTGGAAAAGAAGCGCCAGAATTTAAAGCACCAGCATATTGTCCATGTGGTTCAATCAAAGAGATTGATATTAATGAATATAAAGGAAAATATGTTGTATTGTTGTTTTATCCATTGGATTGGACATTTGTTTGTCCAACAGAAATGATTGGATATAGTGAACTTGCAGGACAATTGAAAGAAATCAATTGTGAAGTTATTGGAGTGAGTGTAGATTCAGTTTATTGTCATCAAGCATGGTGTGAAGCAGATAAAAGTAAAGGAGGAGTAGGAAAGTTGACATTCCCATTAGTATCAGATATTAAGAGATGCATTTCTATCAAATATGGAATGTTAAATGTCGAAGCAGGAATTGCAAGAAGAGGATATGTCATCATTGATGATAAAGGAAAAGTAAGATACATTCAAATGAATGATGATGGAATTGGAAGATCAACGGAAGAAACAATCAGAATAGTTAAAGCAATTCAATTCAGTGATGAACATGGAGCAGTTTGTCCACTCAATTGGAAACCAGGCAAAGACACCATTGAACCAACACCAGATGGAATTAAGAAATATTTAACAGCACATTAAAACAAACAAGATAATTTAATACAAATTATTTTATGGTTTATAAGAAGAAAATGATAATAAATAAAAGAATAAATATAATGATTTTAATAAAAGAAAAGAAGAATAAGAAATACTACACAACAGATGAATTGAAATAAAATGATACATTTGTATAAAAAATAAAGAATAACAGAAATAAAGAATATTTTAAATAATATAAGAATTAATTAATGAAATGATATTATATAATTAATAAAATTATTAACAGTTAATTTGTATTTAATTTGAATTAATATTTAAATATTCTTCATATTTATTCTTTTATTCTTGCTTTTTCATTTGTATGTATATCATTTTATATTATATCCATTTATTTTTAATTGATATTTTTATTTCTTTTCTTTATTATTCTCTTTATTTAATATTAAAATATTTATGTTTATTCTTATTCTCTATTTCTTATTTTATTTCTATTCTTTTCATTCTTTATTTTCATATACTTCTTTATTATATAATTCTTTTGTTTATTTCATTTCTTCTTTTTTATCATCTTTTATTTTGAATTATTTGGATTATTTCATTATTCTTATTTCTTATTATCTTTTGTTTTTATGTTTTTATTTTATGTTATATTCATTTTTCATTAAATATTGTGTCATTACTTATTTCTTATAAATGAACTTTATTTGATCATTTATTTATCAACTGTTTATAAATTAATATACATTTTATCATTATATTTATAACTTTGTTTTATAGTCTGTGTCATTTTATATTTATATTATCATGGTTGACTTGAAACACAAAACCAAATAAATAATTATTAACAAATTATGTGTTTGAGTTTTAATACAAAAATGTTGATAATAATTAATATATTCATCAAATAATAAATTCTAATATTGATTAAATAATCATTTGTTCATGTTATTACTATTTATTCGTATTCTTGTTTTATTCATTTGAATCATTTTATGATAAAGTCGGAATAAGAAACAAGTTAAAATGAACAATCAATAAATGATGAATATATTCTTAAAATAATAATGATTTGAATTATGAATTGAAATTATTATTCATTTTATTCATTGTTGTTGTTATTGTTTATGTTTTATTTATTAAATTTAATGATTATTCAATTTTGTTGAATAAATTACAAAAATGAAATGAATTTCAATTTAATATTTCATTTCATTCTATTTATTATTGAAGTTCAAAATACAATAATACAAGAATATGATGATATGAAAAATGAAATGATTGAGTCATTATAAAATAAAAAGAAAATAAAAGATAATAATAGAACAAGAAGAGAGTATATTTAAAGAGAAGAACTGAAATACATTTCATTCAATGTTTATATTTCTATTAATTATTGTAATTAGTAATGCAACAGAGAGTATTAACAATACAAAAGTAATACACACACACAAATATATTCAAAACAACACAAAAGAATGTTTAATCTACATAATATACATTTAAAAGGTGAAACTGGTGTAGATGAGAAACTTACAACGGATAAAGGAGCAGAAGAACCAACATCGTCAACACAATCAACAAAAGAAGCATCATCTAAAGATGAACAGGAAGTACCAAAAGAAACACAAGAAACAAAAGGATCAGATGTTGATTCAACAACAGGAGAAAAACAACCAAAAGACATCCCCACAAAAGAATCACAAAAACCAGAAGAAACAACATCAGCAGAAACAACAAAACAACAAACAGAAAGCCAAGAGTCAAGCACACCAAAAGTACCACAAGGAGAAAATTCAGAAAAAACAAAACAACAACAAAAAGATCATAACCCATCATCACAAGGAGAAGAAAATCAAAAACAAGACAAAAAACAATCAGAAACACAAACACCATCAACTCAAGGAGGAAATCAACAAAAAGAAGAGTCAGAAAAAACACAAGAAAATGGTGATAATAAAAATAATGAAATACCAAAAACACAAGACGATGCAAAAGACAAACAAGACGAACAACAAAACGAAAACCAAAAACAACAAGAGTCAAAAGACAAGCAAGAAAAACAAGAAGACAAACAAGAAAAGAAAGATAATGATTCTCAACAAAAGAATAACAATAATCAACAAACAAACAACAACCCAGAAGATGAAAAAACTCATGAACCAAACAAAAATGAAAATAAAGAATCAGATACTAAACAATCAAACAACGATGAAAGTGAAACAGATAATAGCACAGATAATGACATAAATAATCAAAAGAATATTGATGGTACATCATGTGTATTTGTTATTCTTTCTATTCTTATCATATTTTTATTAATTTAATTGAATGAATTTGGTTATTTTTAAATTTATTAACAATATTCATTATAAATACTACATCTTCATCTCATTAACACTTTTATTTTATTTCTATTATAACTCATTGTTATTAGTGTTAAATAATATTCATACTAATAACACATTGATAGGTCATATCAAATGATTCATGATTTTCAATATAATCATTATATGTGATTAGTTTAAAATATAAAATAAAACACAAAAATAATTGAAAAAGAAATGAATAAAAGGATAAGAAAAAAACACCAATAATAAAGAGAATATACACTTCATTTCAAACCAAAACAACAATATTCAAAATAACACAATCAAATATCAGATTCATATCACTTGGAGATGGAATATTATCAAATAAGAAAGAAATTGAACTTCAAGAAGGAGAAGAAATTAAAGTGAATGAAGAAATAAGAGAATTAATTTGTATTGGAAATGATAAAAAAGAGAAGATGAAGATACAAATAAGTAGTAAAGAAGAAAATGAGAAATATTCAATTAGAACAAACCAAAATATCATTACAATTGAAGGAGGATATGCATGTGAATTTGAAGTATTCATTACAATCAAATGTACAACTAAAATTAACGATAAAATAATGATAATTAGTAAAACACTTAATAAAGCACAAGAAGAAACAATCAAAAGTATTTCTATTGAAGGAGAAACAGAAATATCAACACGACTTGATCCCGATGAAATAAAAGAAGAAAAGAAAATAGGAGAATGAACATTTGGAATTGTTTATGTTGGAGAATTTAGAGGAAATAAAGTAGCAATTAAGAAAATGAAACAAGTTGAAGAAAATGAAGATAAAAAGAAAGAATTTGAGAAAGAAGTAGCAATGTTAGATAAATTTCGAAATGAATATATTATTCAATTTTATGGAGCAGTATTTATTCCTAGTAAAATATGTATGGTAACAGAATTTGCAGAATATGGATCAATACAAGATATAATGAATAAAAGAAACATCACAGAAATACCAAAGAAAATAAGAATCAAATTTATGATAGATGGAGCAAAAGGAATATCATATCTTCATTCAAATGGAATATTACATCGAGATATTAAACCAGATAATTTTCTTGTTGTATCACTTGATGATAACATTGAAGTTAATTGTAAATTAACGGATTTTGGAAGTGCAAGAAACATCAATATGATGATGACAAATATGACATTCACAAAAGGAATAGGAACACCAAAATACATGGCACCAGAAGTATTAAATCATCAACATTACAAAATGCCATCAGATATATATTCATTTTCAATAACAATGTTACAAATCATCACATGGCAAGATCCATTTCCTAAAACATTATATCCACATCCATAGTCAATAGCAGATACAATCACAATAGGTAAACGAACAAATATAATACAAGAAGTAGAAGAAGATATTAAATAAGTTATTGAAAAGTCATGGGAACAAGAATTAAACAAAAGATTAATAACAATAAATGAAATTGTAAGAATAATAATAAAAGAAAATCATAATCAACTTAATGTTGTGCAACTTTAAATATATTCAAAAATAATAAATAAATATTAGAAGTGAATGAACAAAAGATTAGAACAAATAAAAGAAATAATAAAAAGATGAATATAATGATATTTATTCAAACATAAATGGAATGAATATCCTTATAATAAGGAAATAATCAATAAATAATGTTTTAGATTACAAATACTTTAATTATTGATTATCAATTTCAATGCACAACATTAAAATTAATAATAAATGTTCCAATGAAAGAATAAAAGATCAAAGTGTTTATCATCAATACAACTAACTCACAACCAAAACAATCGTTTGTATAAACTATGATGTTAAACACTCATTCTTTCAATACATATTCAAAGAATAACCAAAACTATTCAAATAGAAAAAGAAAATAAAAAAAGAATAATAAAAACAAGAAAGAAATATAACTACATCATCAGAATAAATGAACAAAAACAAAGATTGAACTAACCAAAGAAGAAATAAGAAATGATAATGAACATAGATAAAGAAAATCGATGATATAACAATATGTAAATCAAATAAAAAGATAGAACAAATATACTATGGAAGCAACAAAGAAATACACACACAAAAAAAAAGAAAAGATGTTGTAAAGAAATCAAAAAGAATATAATAAAACCAAAAAATAATACACTAAAGAAACAATAAATTTTATTTTAGTGAAATAAGTTCAAGTTGTTTTAAAAAAGGATTTGAAAGAAGGAGTTGATGATATTTATTTTGAAGAGAAATGAGTTGATCAGAAGGAGTAGATTTATAGTCATGAATAAACTGAGAAATAATTGACTTTCCATTAAGAATATCTTCAGAAGTAATTTGAGGAATTTCATCATCTAAAAGAGGGATTTTATTTGTGAATAATTCAATTTTCCTTTTAGAATCAGGTTGGTCTAAATCAAGTTCTTTTGCTTTTCTTTTTGCAGACTCAACAACTTCATGAGGAAAATCAGCCCATTCAGCAACATAAATTGCTAAACTTTGATCAGTACTTCCATTATTAATTTTATATTTTAATACAAGTTGTTTATCAATAATATCAGCTTCAACATGTTTATTTATAACACCAGTTACTCTTTTTTCTAATCCTGTAATTTCATGAAAATGAGTTGCAAAAACACAATAACATCCAATGTCAATAGCCAAATATTCTGAAATTGCCCAAGCAATTCCAAATCCATCATATGTTGATGTTCCTCTACCTAATTCATCTATTAAAACTAATGAATTTTTTGTTGATTTTTTAATAATTTCTGATGTATCTTTCATTTCCGACATAAACGTACTCATTCCTTCAACAATATTATCACCTGCTCCTATTCTACACATTATTTTATCACAAATAGAAATATGTGCTTCTGAACATGGAACAAACATTCCAATTTGTGCCATAATAACACATAATCCAATCATTCTTAAATATGTTGATTTTCCTCCCATATTTGGTCCTGTAATAATTTGAAATCTTGTTTCTTTTCTATCAATATCAATATCATTTTCAATAAATGAATTAATACTATTATTCTCAATTAATGGATGTCTTGCTTTTATAATTTTAATTATTCCTTTTTCACTTTCATATATTGTTGGTTTACTATATCCTTGATTATTATCAATAGAAACAGTTGCAAATGATTGAATACAATCAATATATCCAATCATATTTTCTAATTCTTGAAACTTTTCTTTATATCCTTCTACTACTTTATTTATTTCTTCAATAAACTTTTTATTAATTTCTTCTTCTTTTAATTTAAGTTTATCTCTTTTAACATTAAGTGTTTGCATTTCTTTAAATGTAAATTTACATTCTCCTTTAAGTGTTTGAATAATAGTATATTTTTTATTCTTTTTAACTTCTTTTTCATTACTTTTAGATACTCTTAATATTAAATTATTGTTATGTTCAACAATTTTAATTTTATCTGTCTTAATATTAAGGTCATTTGCTGCTTGTTCTAAACACTTTTCAAAAAGTTCTTCTACTTTTTTATGACTTTCTCTTATTTTTTGAAGCCCTTCATCAAAATCTTCTCTTATTTTAAATACGTGATTTTGTGTCTCTTCAATATCAATAAGCGTTACTACCATTTCTTCAAATTTTTCCATTTCTTCAGTTATTTTTTCTAATGGTTCTATTATTTCTTTTTCTATACTTTTATTATTCATTTCTTTTAATTCTTCTTTAATATTTTTACTAATTCTTACTGCTTCATATAATTTAACAATACTTTCTAAATCACTTTTATTTATCCCTTTTATTAATTTCTCTAAGTCTGGTATTATTGCTAATTCTTCATTTTTGATTTTTAGTCGAATCCCTGAATTGTCATAAAACCCTTCGACTAATTCTAATCGTTTATTTATCTTGTCTTTGTCTATCAACGGTTGTTTAATCCATTCTTTTATCATCTTTTCTCCTATCTTTGTATGTGTTCTATTTAAATGTTTAAATAATGTCATTTCTTTTTTATCTCCAAATAAATGAAGTCCTTCAATAGCATCTTCTTCGATTATCATTGCATTGTCCGTTGTAACTTCCTCCATTCTTTATTTTTTCTTTTCTTTTTTTTTTTGTTTTAGGTTTTTTTCATTGTAAAATTTATCTCAAATTTTATTGATTTGTTGCTGACAATGTTTTTGTTTGTTGTAAATGATAAAATAACAAGTAATTAACTAAGTATTAATAGAATTAGCTTCTATTGTTAATGGCTCAGGGGAGACTAATCCCGTCCCTTCGTCTTCTTCTTCTAGTAGCTCTACGGAGTATGTTTGATTGTGATCTCCGCAGTATTCCATGACATCCATCATGTTTTTTATTACAAGGTTTTTAATTTCTTTCTCGATGTCGATCTCAATTTTTAATTCTTTAATTAATTTATTACTTTCTTTATTCATTAATCCATTGATTGAAATTACTACTGGAATTATTTTGACATCTTTTATTTTTTTCTATTTTCATTAGCATATTCTTTAATTCCTTGTACTTATTTCTTTTCTTCCAATATTCTCCATTAATATTGTGATCAGCCACAATAGTCATATCAAATAATACACCAGTTTGATTCTTTTTATTTAATACATATATATCTGTTATTTTGTGGTATTGTCCATCACTTTTAGGCATTATTTGTTTGTTCATATCATTGTGATGTCTTTATATTTGAACACTGTTTCATATGGAGGTTTTTTATATTGTTTATTTCATGTATATTTTCTTATTAATCCCTCCCATATTATAATGCCATTATTGTCATGTTTTTCTATTTGTGATTTTTTATGACCAATACAAGATAGTAGAATGTGTTCTACTGTTGCTATCTTGTCTTTACAAAGTGTTGAGTATTTCAGTCTTTCATTTTTCATTATTTTTGCTTTCTTATACCCACAAAATATTGCACCATCATTCATTTTAGTTAATTGAAGAAATGCATTCTTTTTAATATTGATGGACTTCCATGCTTTCACTGTAGTAGTTTTATCTATTCCTTTTGACTCGAACCATCTTCTAAAATATCCACTAATTTGATGACACTTCCATTTTTTGATGTATTTATCAATAATTTTTTTATTTCTACTACTACTTCTTTTTCTTTTTTCTTTTCAATAAATTCATTTATTATTTCTTCTATTTTTGTTTCATTTATTTTATGAATTATTGTTTTTTAATTCTATTCCATATTCATTTCTTGAAATACCATCTATCTAATATGTTATTTCCTATCTCACTTTCTCTGGTACAGTAGTACATTACTGTTCTTACTATTTCAATAACATATTCGTCCCTTATATTTATTAATCCTTCACCCATTTCTTCTATAATGACATATAACCTATCTTTGGAGTTTCCGGCACCAATGTATTTTGCCTTTCTTAAGTATTTTCTTATCTCCAAATCAATTTTATCTAGGTCAGTGATTTTCCAATTTACAACTGATGCTGAATATCTGAAGATAGGGATTACTTCAGTGTTTATTCTAGTAATATATCTTCTATTACTACTTTCATCACTGTTTATTTCTTCCATCTTCTTCATCATTTTTTCTTTGATGGTTTTACAATTGAAGATATTATCAATTTCGTCGGACTGCCATATTCCTAAGTATTTATACAAGTCATCACCTTCAATGACTGGGATGTTTTGCATTCCATTTGGTATTTCCTTAATGTTTTTTTAATACCAATCCTGACTTTTTCTCATTCATTTCCATCCCTATGTAACTTATTATTTCTTTAATTTCATTGTGGATTATTCCCATTTCTTCATTACTTTCTGTCATTATTCTCAAATTATCCATATATAATGTGTGATTTGTTTTTGGGAATTTCTCTTCGATGATTTGAGAAATTATAATAATCTTCATGATGAATAGTAGATTTGATAAGTAATCACATTGTAAAATTCTTCTATTTAATTTAATACTACCTAGGTATTCATTATATTTATAGCCGATGAATATCTTCCATCTAGTCATCATACTTTCAATTATGTCAATGATGACACACTCATAATTAAAATATTTTAATGATTCAATTACCCATTCGTGGTTTACTGTGTCATATGATTTTTTAATGTCATAATATGACTCATCATATTTTGGGTATTTCTCTTCTTTCTGCTGCTTCATCATATAACTATTAATTATTCCTTCTTTAGCAACTAAAGATTGTAGCTTACATCCCAGTTGATTTTTACTAATTTTAAATGATTCACTATTCATGTTAATTCTTCTGTGAATCTTTTCTTTTAATATGGAGGTAAATACTTTCATAATTACATTTATACAACTGATATGACGATAATTAGTGAC